ATATTTTTTAAAATATTTTTATTTTATGATGTTTTAATATTATGATGTTTTCCCTTAATTAATATGCACGATGTTGTTGTTTTTTACAGGCTCGTCTCGAGGTTATCGATCGCTGTCTAATGACCGAACCAGCGCATCTCTCAATATCGGTTGTTACGATCGGCTCCATTCGCGTTGAAGCACCCGACCGTGTTGAGCGCACAAAATCCATCGAAGCCATCGTCAAGCTTTACGACTCCAATGACAATTTGTTGCAAATCGATCCGTTCAACTTGCATATGTACGAATTGTCCGAGGAGATATTCAATGCGGATATACTCAGCGTAAGCTTGGGCGAGCAACACGATCTGCAGATAGGCGAAGTCAAGTAAATTTGAGCAAATAATAATTAAAAAGCAGACACTTTAAGCATATTTATCATTCCACACCTTTAGATACATTATAACGGGCAATAACCTTGGTGAGACAAAAATTGTCTTTACAGCCGGCAGTGAAGATCTGAAGGTTGGCAGTGAACCAGTCAATGTGCAGGTACATACATACATACATACGTAGACATTTTCACCTTCGTCCACTCATTTGCATACATTGCTGTTTCCTTTTACRCTGTTTTCATCATCAACATCGTCCACAGGTATTCCCACCACTGCGGCTTTACCCACGCAATTCCACACTTGTAGTGGGTTCCAGTCTGCAAATTTACTACCACGGTGGACCACAACCGGATGTCAACATTGTCTATTATGTGCATGACAGAAAAGTTATTTGTAAGTTTGTGCAACCCTGTCCTTACTTGACTTTTATGCATGCATTTGTTATCCTTAACCTTATCACTTAACAATTGCAGCAATGGAGTCGGCTATTGTTACGGCGCATAAGCTGGGCACAACCAAAATCACCGGTAAATGCATTATGACAAATCCCGGAAATGGCAAAGAAGTGGTCATATCCGCTGACACAGTGGAAGTGCATGTCGTGCCGTTTGTGAATATACAAGTGAAGACRCCGTTAGTGCGCATACGTAGCGGTGCAGTGATGCCAGCCGCTGTGTGGGGTTAGTAGCCWTACAAATATCTACTTTTCTATACATATGTYTGTGTGTATGATATAGGAAATATTTATTCCCATTGGGCATTGTCTGCCTGGTAGATAAGCGTTGCTAATGTATGTGTGCATATAAATGTAAATAATTGCAGGTGTGCCTGATCTCTCGCCCATGGTGTTGGGCACTTTGGAGAATATGCGTGTGACTTGGGCAACAAATCAACCGGATGTGGTGGACATTTACAATGTATTTGCGGATTCAGGTATGTAAATGCGCGTAAAGTACAGTTATATGTGTGCCTAATGGGCTTTCGCATGCATTTGTTGTTCAAGGTGTTTAGTAATATCCTTCCTTGGCAATTGCAAGTAAAGTGGTGCGAATATTTCGATACGACATCTTTTTGGAAAGCTACAAATTATGTTCACAAAATATTCGCAGAAAATCATTGATGTTTTCTGATGAGCCTGCTTGATAGAGCTTGCGTTCAGGCACAGATACGAAACTGACAATTTWATGCAATAAATTAATATCCTAGCGCTTAGCAGCCGTATTTGCAGTCATTATTAAAAGTAATTCTCTTCTCATTGCAATTTAGGCGTTGAATACGATASCACGGATCTGATATCAGTGCGCGTCAAAGCTTTAAATCCCGGAAAGGTTAAAATTCAGGCCACAGTCGAATTATCAACAGGTCAGAAAATAACGAACTCTGTGGAAGTTGTCGGTAAGTGAAGCATACATACACACATATTGCATAAAATATTCGATTTTTATTGTAATTTTATTTAAATTTTTCATGTTATTTTTATTTTTT